GAACGGTTCTGAGCACGGAGTGGAACCGTTCCAGTGGCTTTTCCAATGGACATGGTTCGACACGGAACACTTAAAACTGGGCTCAGGACGTGTTTTTGGCATGGTTAGCTGACCAGAGTCTGGGTCACAGAACCGTTAGGTGGGATGATGTAACGACGCAGCTGTTCGCTGATTGGTTCTACGTTTGTATCAGTATTGCGCTAAATCAAACCAACAATCAGACGAGTTCAGTTCGTTCACACGAACGCCAAACAAATGAAAGCAGTTTTAAATCCACCACTCAATAAACATCAAAGCTTTAACACTCATTTCTAATTGTTATATTATTTTATAATGATTATAATTTCACCAGTAATGCCCAAATTTCACATCAGATTGTTCACTTTTATAAGTAAAGGTTTAATTGTTAGCCCAGCTTAAACCTTAATTGGTTTTGTTAAATTTAAAAAATTCTTCACACTAAAACAGGTTATTTTAGGGAACCAAACAGGTTCTTCTATGACAAGGAACCACACTGAGAAGCTCTAAATGGTTCATGTTTGTCAGTAAGAGAGTTAATATAATCCAAAATATTGGCTCATTATGATATAGAATACTTCCAGTCAGAAGTTCAGGCATCTAAAGTTCATAATCTATAAACACATTCCACATGAGCAGAAATAACGCTGTGCTGGTTGATTTTAGACATTAAATATTCACAGTGTAGCCCTGCAACTATCATTAATACATCCCAAACTGCCTCCCTGTCCATCCATCCAGCTCTACATCCTGTTTGCTCTTCTACGCCCACACAACATCTTCATTTTGATTAAGTTGATTAATTTGATTGACCCAACAGCTGTCAAGTGGTGTAAGATAACGAGGCACTCAGTGGTGAAATGTAATTAAGAGCTCAACGGTGTGTGAAGAGGCTTGTTAGTATAGCAGAGAGGTCAGTTTATACGGACAGAACATCTACAGCTAAAAGCTCCCTCACAGAAAGTTCCTACATGAAATGGTTATGAATTCACTGCCTGATGACTGAGACACTGTTTTACGATAGTTTTGAGAAGATTTTGGAATTGAAATCAATTCACGGTGGAGGGATACATAATATGGCAGCAAAATAGTCCCCAAAGAAAACTTAATATTTCAGATTTTCCACTATTTTCCATCATCAACTTTCTATATAAGCTCAGAAGACTCATGTAGGTTCACTGGTGGTTCTAGATAGTAAATAAAATGTCTATATTTGTGTTGTAGTCATGGCGACCGCTGGTTCCTATCACCACCACTGTAAAGACATTTGAACCATTTCACACCAAACCACTCTGAACCACTCTGATTACATCTCAAACACTAATTTATGGAAGAATTCTGATTTGCATATTATTATATGGAGGCTGTTTAAAGAGCCCATTTGATGGAAAACTGAATTGTCCTCATGTTTGTGAAATAAAAGAGCAGTTTTATATCGTATCTTTCACTCTCTGGTCCACAGTTAGTATTTGGAAATGAAGCTGCAAAAACAGCCCAGTCTGAATTCCTTGTTTTTGTGATGTCACAAGAACAACATATTTACGTATACTGGCTATTCAGTCTACAGTGGCCTTTCTTCTATTGAGAGGTTCTTAAGGGGGAACCATAACTGGTTCTTCTAAGGCATTTCCCCAAAGATCCTTTTCTGTACCAGTGCTGTCAGCTAACATTTTGAATGCATTTCTAGTAAACAGTTTCTATTTATACAGAAGCTAACAATGAACGTTACACCAGGTCTGACCAGCAGGGGGCATCTAATTTTTTTCATTACGTTTCTGGTCCGTTAACATACCAAGTGTTAGCCAGTTAACTCCTCAGTGATTTTTTTCACCAAATGGTGAGGGAAAAGTGATATATTTATGGAATCAGTATTTGTACACAACAGAAATAGGTATTTCTACAAACAACACTGTGCACCACCCAAAAATACCCAGCCACGAGCAGCTCTGTGGTCAGTTGAAGGGCTGAGTATGGCTAACACAAACCGTGCATTAATAAATGGGCATCAACAAACACCAGCTGGAGATTAAAGGGAGGGGTTTCTGATAAAGTGGCCAATATGTATGCACAGTAACTTCCTGGATAAAAGGACTTGAGAGTGGCTGGAAAACGATGCTTAGCTCCAATGGTGGACCTTCAATGTATATATATATATATATATATATATAAATCAATAAATTAACATCAATGATTCCTGCTTGGCTGCCATTTGTATTCATACAGGTAAGAAAAAAGAGGCTTTTGATGGCCAAATTTATACATAAACTAAAGTGCAACCTAGGAAAACACTTTCAATCATTCATTTTAGCCTTCAGGGCTTCTGTCAGCCCCTCAGTTATGCAGAGTTTGTTTAATGCAGGTTCAGACTGTAAATAAATCAGTGACACGTCCTCTACAGAGACACTTCTGCACACTTTAATACACAATTACTGTTGAATTACTGAACTTAACACATTAAAAAAACAATAATATAAAAATTGATCTGTGCAAACATTATAGCACCTTTTATATGTTATATGTTTTAATTTTTCCAGTATGTTAAACTCAGCAATAAATAGAAATTGTGAACTAAAAATTGAATTGTCTGTATAACACACGTAATAAAATCACAAGTGTGATTATATTTGTCAGATGTTTTTCAACTTCACTGGTGGAGCTTCACTTGTTGATCTGAGCCCGAATCACAGAAACATCCTATTATTAGTTATAAGTTATGATCTTTTGGCAAATTCATGTTGTAGAATTGAATCCTGCATTAATTCCAGAATTATTTCTTATCTTATAGGTTTAGGAGATCCTAAACACCTAAACATCCCGATAATCAAACAACAATAACCAACAATATACACACAGCTGAAACATATAAAGTGATGAAAATAGGTTTTCTTTTTAATATCTGGGTGCATTAATACAGAATTCAGGTGAGATGCTCATTAATGAGCGTATATCAAGAATCTTAGTGGCTTCAAACAAAGCTCAGCCAATCAGATTTCAGAACCAGAACGGATATTATATAACTGATATTTTGATGAATCACATGTTGATTTTTAGTCCTGCTGGTTAATGATTACCTGACAACTAATCATCAGTCAAAAATTTGCATGTCTGCATCTTCAGCATAAAACTGACTTATTTGAATATTGTTTTATTATGAGGTTTTCAGTGGAAGAGCTCAGCTGCATGTGTGGAGGCTTTTTAGTGTAGAACAGAGGTTTCGTAAAAAAAGACAGTTCTTTAAGGGTTCTCTAGTGAAGAAATGGTTCTATATTGAACCATGAACACTCAAAGAACCCTTTGCATGACTAAAGAGTTCTTTGCACCATGAAATGTTTTCTCAGATTGATGGAAAATGTGCTGTAGCTGGTTCTATATAGAACCTTTTGAAAAGGGTTCAATATAGCACCGAAAAAAGGTTCTTCTATTGTTACAATGTCAAGCTTGTGAACCATATACACACTTAAAACAATAGTTTTTCAAGGGATCTTTAGTAAACAAAGTAGCTTTATATAGCACACTCAAAGAACCATCTGCATGATTAAAGGGTTCTTTACATCATAAAAGGATTCTTCAGATTGATGGAAAATGTGCAAGAATGTGCTATAGATGGTTCTTTATAGAACTTTTTTGAAAAGGGTTCTATATAGCACCAAAAAGGGCTCTTTCATTGTTATGATGTTAAGCTTGGAAGAACCCTATATAGAACCTTTTTCAAAAAGGTTCTAGGTAGAACCATCTACAGCACATTCTCTATTAATCTGATTAACCTTTTCATGATGCAAAGGGTTCTTCAAATGTTCATAGTTCTATATAAAACCGATTTCTTTGCTAAAGAACCTTTGAAAAAAACATTCACTTACGTTTGTAGATGGTTCTATATGGAACCTTTTTGAAAAGGGTTCTATATAGCACCAAAAAGGGCTCTTTCATTGTTATGATGTTAAGCTTGGAACAACATAAGAACCCTATATAGAACCCTTTTCAAAAAGGTTCTAGGTAGAACCATCTACAGCACATTCTCCATTAATCTGATTAACCTTTTCATGATGCAAAGGGTTCTTCAAATGTTCATAGTTCTAAATAAAACCAGTTTCTTTACTAAAGAACCTTTGAAAAAAAACATTCACTTAAGTTTGTAGATGGTTCTATACGGAACCTTTTTGAAAAGGGTTCTATATAACCCCAAAAGGGGTTATTTTATCGTTATGATGTCAAGCTTATGTTCCACCCAATGACTGCTGGGATAGGCTCTGGCTCCCCCCGCGATCCAGAAGGTTAAGCGGCTTAGAAGATGTGTGTGTGTGTGTGTGTGTGTGTGTGTGTGTGTGTGTGTGTGTGTGTGTGTGTCAAGCTTATAACAACAGAAGAACCCTTTTTTAGAGAACCATCTACAGCATATTCTCCATCAATCTGAAAAACTCTTTCATGATGTAATGAACCCTTTAATCATCCAGAGGGTTCTTTAGGTGTTCTATATAGAACCATTTTCTTTACTAAAGAACCTTAAAAACATCTTTTTGAGTGTGTAGGTGGGTCTATATAGAATCTTTTTAAAACGGTTCTAAATAGCACCAAAAAGGGGTTCTTTCATTGTGATGATGTCAAGCTTGTAACAAATGAAGAACTCTTTTTGTAGAACCATCTACAGCACATTCTCCACCAATCTGAAGAACCTGCCCACCAGGCAAGGACCATTTAATCATGCTCAGAGTTCTTTGAGTGTTCATGGCTGTATACATAGCCATTTCCTTTACTAAAGAACCTTGGAGAACCATCTTTTCTAAGTGAGTAGAGGTTCAACAAATCGCCTCAAACCTACATTTTGCCCGTTGTTTCAAACAATAAGTTAAAGGATCGTCTGCTGGACTGATCAGTTCCACACAGCGTTCCTCCAGATCTAGACTGCACTGCTGGAGCCAAAACCGTTCTCTCAGTTCCTCGAGGACCTTATGTCGTTCCTCCAAATGACAAGAAGACCAACTCACCTGGCCTGAGCGTGTGACCTCTCCTGTCTCCACTCCGGTTTGTTAATCTTAAGTGGCCTTGAATTGAAAACAGCTGGACCAGATGCCCAGTAAGGCTGAAGACTGAATGCCCACTGCATTTACAATGGCCAACATCCACTGACGACCTCTCCCTTTCTCCTTTCCCCTCCATCCCTCCTTCTCCCACCCCCTGTTCTCAATAACTTCTCGAGGAGAACAAACAGTAGTGGTATTGTCTGCCCCCCCCCACCCCCATCTGAACCACACTGGTAACACACAAGCCATTATTTTCCATGCAAACAGCTCAGGCTGGAATACAAATGGATTTCTATCCTTTTTTCGCACCATCCCTCCCTCTCTCATACACACACACCACACACTCCCTTTCTTCCTCTCCATCTCTCTGTCTCTCGGCGAACAATAGGGCACTTATTGGAATCTCTCTGGCCGGGTACGGACTGCATCCATCAGAGAGGAAACTATTTCAGAGGGTGATAAGAGGGATACAGTCTGTTTTTGACATTTAGACTGGAGGAGAGGGGCCTCCAGGCCTTCGCATTTGGCATAAAGAGACGAGACCCCCCTGCGACCCCTGTGTCTCAAATCCATTAAAGGTTTTTCGAGTGTAGCGACTCGAGAGCTCTGCCAAGGCTCCTCGCCGGCAGCCAAAAGCAACGGTTTCTTAGATAGAAAACAGCGAATAATTGTGTTTGGTAATGACTGTGTTTGTTCCGATTACTCAAGGAGACCAAACCAGAAAAGATTTACACAGAGCCCCCCGGCTTCAGCCCCGCGGTGACGATGACCCAGGGGTATTTAGGAGGAGTTCCTAGAGCAGCAGCTATGCATTGTTTGGCCTCATGCAACAAGGTTTTGTGGTATGTGGTATGTTCCACTGAAATCACTGCACACTGTGCAAAACTCAGAGACCACCTCCATGTATTTATTTTCATAGCAGCCATTAAGCCACAGCTAACTCTACTCTCAGCTGTGTGAGGGTCAGTGAGTCTCTCTGTCCTTTTATTTCAGCTTCCATTCTTTTCGGGAGACTCACTTTCAGTTTTTCAAAGAAATCCAATAATATCTGTCTGTAGAGCCGCAGAGCCACGTTTTCATGCCAGCAGTTTCACTTCAGCAGGTTCAAGTCAGTGGCATTCAGCTCAGGCGCCGACACTTGTTCTGGTTTTTCTTAGTGAGTTTTAGTCTAATCAACATTTCAGTCGTTTTTATGTGGGTTTCCAATACATTTGTGATGAATTTGTCTTGGGCTAATGTTATATTTTAAGCTTCTAGGCTGAAACAAACTTTGGTTTGAACACAAATTCACAGGGTAAATATTACAGGACCTACAGCTGATGTGTCCTGGATAAGCTATTGGGCTATGTAGACATACAGCTCAGTTAACTTACCCTTAATAAACGGCTTTATGTGTACACTTACATTACATGAGCAGGAATAACACTTTACCTGGCTTAAACTGAGCATAATATTAAACTTAAGCCTAAAACAAACCTTAGTTTTTTGAACGTAGCCCTGCTGAAAAACCCACAGAAACCATGAAGTGTTCCTTTTGGTTTCTGATGGTTTTGTAACGTGTTTTGTCTGATGGTTTAACCGGTTACCAATGTTTGATTCGTATATTGGTGACGGTCTCCCTTCCTGAAAGGTGATATACATGACAACACAAACAACCGGCACAATCAGTCCTGTTTACATCAGAGACATTATAAATGAGATCGGCCACTAAAGGGTTCTATATAGCACCCAAAAGGCTTCTTCTAGTGTTACAAATCAACCTGCTAACAATAGCAGAACCCTTTTGGGTGCTATATAGAACGCTTTTCAAAAAGGTTCTATATAGAACCATCTACAGCACAATCTGATAAACCTTTTCATGATGCAAAGAACCTTTTAAAGAACATTTTTAATTCCTTGTGTGTTTTACATAGAACCATTTAAGCTAAGTAATCCAGATTAAAGGAAGAAATGGTTTCTCTTTCAGGAATAAAGCATGGTTCCCTCTGCATTGCAGAAAAATGCTTATTTATTGGCAACTTTCCTTTCTGTCTCTAATTACGGTGACATTTTATACCTGCATGTTTCAGCTTCGACTCTCAGGCCCTGTTCATCACTCTGTCTGTTCAGACAAACACTGGATTTAATTATTAATAAGGCCTTTACTGTGTTTTACCTTACATTATTTCATTATTGTCTTTTAATGGGGGTCTTTACAGTATAACATATATCTTTACAGAATAACTTGAAGAACCATTTAAAGCTCACCTCGTTTTTATCTTTAGGGCACTAAATTTTTCATTTCGTCTTATTTCACTTCCAATTACGGAAGTCCAGAGAGGCCCTGAGCTGTTTCTACAATTTTCTAGTTTGTTATCTTGTGATAACAAGAAAAGTAACTTGTTATCTCAAGATAACAACTTCATTATCTTGAGATCACAAGATAACTAACTCGTTATCTTAAGATAACAACTTTCGTTTTCTCGAGATAAGATAAGTACCTTGTTTTAGTTCATTTTATTGTTCTATTTACTTTCAAAGTTTTATTATTTTACTAATTTGTTTGGTTTATTATTCTACTTAATTCTTGCCGTTTACCTAATTTGCTATTTAATGCATAGTTTTCTTATTTATTTTTTTGTTTTTGTTTTTGGGTGTTTTGGTGTCTACCAGCTCTTCCAGGTGGTTGTCAGGAGTAACATTTTCTCTGTAGCTTTTAATCAGTTTTTAATGTATTTCCCATCAACTTTCTCCTTCCTTATGCAAGTAGGCTATTCTTATATTTAGTCTCCTAATTTCTTCCTGAGAAATTAATAACTTGACTGTTTCGAGTGAAAATTAAGTAAATAAATGGTGGACTTTTGTACCATGAGCATTGTGAGTAATGTAGAAAAGCAAAACTATACCTGAATGTGTCTCACTAACAGCAAATAACAGTTTTTCATGAACAGAATTAAAGTTCTTTACTATGTTCAACCTATATTTTCCATATTCTTAAATAAAACATAATATTTACAGCACTGTTGGTGCAAAAAATGTCAGATCGTGGTTCCAAAACATTATTAAACTTTTAGAAAGTAGCCCAAAAGACAGTGTGTGTGTGTCTGTGTGTGAGTTAGTATCACATATATCTTACAATACACAATACCCAGTAGTGCTACATAGCCTATAGGCTACACTGCATATACACCCATATACCATTTTAAGTGTGCCTGGCTTGGTGGGTGGACAGTTTTCTCACTTGTTTGAAGGAGAAAACACAGTTCCTCCCCTGGCTCTACTGCGGCGTGATGCTCTGTCTCTCTCTCTGGTCTGTTGGCCTATTCTCCATCATTATAATAAGGGAGGCTCAATTAGACCTGCTCTAAAACAGGGGCTCGAAATGTCACAGTGCAGGCCCGTGACATTTCTCTGTTTGATACGCTATCAGAACGGGAGTCGCCGAGTTCACAGACGGAACTAATCTGCAGTTACAAATGACAAATCCCCCGCTCTGTTCGCTGGGAGGAAAGCACGCTGCCAATACATCAGGGGCCCACGTCCTCGCTATTACGACTAGAACATTCCTGTTCATATCGCTGGCTGATAAACCGCTGAACTTTTGGGCTCTTGTTGAGGTAAATGTCTCATTTTAATGGGCTAGCAAGGTCAACGATATGCATAATATCACTGAAAGTAAACATATGGAAAAGCAGTTAAAATGGCCCAGTATGTGGTTGGAGGCAAAACAATTAGCCATCGATAAACTGTCTGTCAAATCCAGAGGCAGGAGAGTTTGAAAAGAAGAAAGACAAAAGACAAACTCAATCTAATAACTTGAATATACTGGTATGAATTGAATTATATTCAATCCTAAACAAAGTTCTGTGAATTTATTTATGTATACAAATGATTTTAATATTACATTTAATACATTTCAGCTTTTTGATACTGATGATACTGTAACACTTGAGTCCGGTCTCAAGACCATAAACTAGCAGTCTCGTTCTGGACCTCGTTTGGACTCGATCGCATCTAGGCCTTGACTTCATTTGGTCTCAGGGTTAAGTGGACCTGGTTGTGGAGGCCAGCTGAGTGTGATGCCTCTCTCTGAGGTAACTAGAAGCTAAATTACTATTGAATACTAACCAAGCCAGAATAACAGAATAAAACAATTCTTCCTCTGAATCAGTGTTTCCCAAACTTGTGTAACCTGTGGCCCTTTTTATTTTACTTAATCTTTAATTAATCAGGCAAGTCATTAAGAACAACTTCGTAACACTTTCTATGAATGACACCTTTGTAAGCATCTATAAACGCATTCATAACGTTATAATGCATGCATAAGACATTATAAACATAGCTATAAATACTTATAAAAATGCATTATACATTATACAAAGTTTATTATGCATTATGAATTGTTAACATAATACATTATAAGTACTGTTCATAACAAATTATAAGAGTTGTATTTGTCCGCTATAAGTAAAGTGAAGCGTACTGTACTAAAGCCTCCTCCAGTGTTCAGAGTGAGGCTTCAAGTTGAAGTATTTACTGAAGGATTTACTGAAACACTAAAACATTCACAGTAAAGCACATTACAGGCTTCAAATGTCAGAGTTTAAACTAGAGCTGCCATCAGTGTTTTACCCAATGTGGGAAAGGTAATGTACACCACCGTTAGCTTGGTATTTGTCTTTACACTCTCCAAGCTGGGACTGACTTCTTTGGCACTGACATTATAACGATATTAACGCTATTTATAATGAATTATAATAACAATTCATAATGTATAATAAACATGGCTATAAAGTGTAATTCAGTGTAATTCTTTTTTATTAATATTTATAAACATGTTTATTATGCCTTATGAATACATTATAACATGTTATAAATGTGTTTATAGATGCTTACAAAGGTGACATTCATAGAAAGTGTTGCCAACAACTTCTTATTAACAATGGAGGCCTGGCGTTGCACTGCCACATTAAAGGCTTTACACCAGTTATGGGAACTAATGGGAACCATATATAAACCAAGAACATTTATTTTTGTTTTTTGTAGATGTCGCTGTTTTTTTTTTCAGTACTGCTATTCATTGATCTTTTAATTCTCCATCATCACTCCCACTGAGATGCAGCAGGAGACATACTAATATGGTCTTTGCATGAAAAAAATCATGTGATGG